TTGACGGTTGGACTCGATGATCTTAGAGGTCTTTTCCAACCTCAATGATTCTATGATTCTATGATTCTATGATTCTACAGTGTGCTTTTGGAAGAGGTTTCCTACATAAGGAGAGTAGCTTATCCTTGATTTCAGGTACCTCAATGGGCTTTTAATTGCATGGTTACATAGTGTGGAGGAGTGCTAGAAGGCCATAGGCCCTTTTTCTGCGCAAGATGACTTGAATAACAATGTAGCTTTCTTTTTATTTTTATATTTATGTTTGTGTTGAAAGCCAGGAGCCTTTCACTTTTACAAACTCTTCTTAGAAATCTTGGAGAGGAAAATAATTATTCTATGGTGAATCTTACAAAGAAATAGTAATGAACTATGGACTGTAAGTTCATTAAATAAGCACCGTATCTTTCACTAAGTTGACCTTCTTAATGAAAAAGTTTAATTTTTTAATGCAACTTGGCAGTCTACTCTTTTAAAAAAGTTAATATCACCTCATGGCTTATTTTTTGCTTTCAGTTGAATATGTTTCTTCTTATTTGATGAGGCAGATGAAAGAGCCCCAACTTGTGGAAAGGAGGGAGGGGATAAAACACAAAGCTAAGCGAAGATATTTTGCTGCCTGGGCCTTGCTTTTCCCAGGCGTGTTTTGCTCCTCCCGCCTCTGCCGCCTTCCACTCAGCCCCTGGGCACTGCTCTGTCCTTTCCCAGGGCAGAGGCAGAAGCACAAGATGTGGGGACATTTCCTGGCTCCTGCAGTGTCCCCCTCCGATGGGCAGCCCTCTTGCCCTGTCCTTGCTGGATGCCTGCAGATTTAGTTTTAAGGTGATCCATAACTCAGTTTACATGATACATCCAGCAATCTCAGCTGCATCATTTTAAGCTTACTTTCATAGTAAGCTTCTCTTTTTTTCCAGACAGACTGCTTAGGTGTATTGCTCTTGTAAATAGGCAGATGGTGTTATTAAATGTACGTAGTCTAAACCTTAAAAATAAATCTAGTGGTGAATCAAGTTTCTTCTCTGCATTTTTGTGCCCTGCTGAGGATGGGGAGCTGTGGGAGTACCTATTTCTCAGTCCCAGCTGGGCAAGCTGCCCCTCTGGGCTGCAACCACAGAAGGAGCTCAGCAGCAGTCCTGTTGTTATCTGTATCAGTTGTGACAAAGACCGCACATTTTCTGTGGGGTAGCTGTAACAGAGAAGAACGTAATTGAGTTATTGAAAAGTTTAAATTCAATCACAGACACTCCCCCCCCTGGACTTCAGTACTTACTAAATTCCAGTGAGAATGTACACTTTTTTCTTCCTTTGCTTACTGAACAAGTTGTCTATTTTAAAATTATCCCCTAGCCTCTGTTTAGAGTTTATGCCACAATCCATCATCTCAGATTTTACTGTGAGAATTCTGAAAATCACAGATGTACTAAATTTACAAGTTAATAGCCAATTTTTGGTTGGATGGTAGCTAAATGAGAATTTTTTTTCTCGATTATATAATCCGATTCGTCTGAAATGAGGGGTATCACACATCCGTGCTGACTAAATTCTCTAAAATTGTACTTTTCCCAGTGAATTCTTAAAGACACTGTCAAAATCCAGCATGCAATCACTGGTATTATTCCCCAGAAAGACTTTCCCCTAATATGTTGCTGTCTGGGTGTAAGTTAACAGAATCACATGTTGCCCTTCCTTTTTTCACAGTTACTGTTTTGAGGAGCCCAGAACAGAATTTGCAGCATGAAAGAAGACGTATGTCTGTGCATAAAGTGTGACTTGATGAACTTATCAAGATGCAGCTGAACAGCTAGCAAAAACATCCAGCAAAACCCATAAACAATAGTTTGACAGCCCAGCATCTATTTTTGTGTCAGTAACAAATAGATGTCAGTGATGAGGTTCTGTGCATAAAAACAGCTCTTGCCATTTTTGTCTGCAATCTGTGTTAAAAGTAGGCCAGGGAGCATGACACCTGAATAATTTTGGTGGTGAAATATCTTATTAATAAAATTTTAAAAAAATCTAGTCACTACAGCCTCATTGGGATTGACTTGTCTAACAAATATTCTGTAAATCATAAAGTATTTTATTTTATTTTTCTTCCATCTCTTTTCTCCTGGGTGTGCTATGGGTCAAGACAAAACCTGGTGTCATTCGTCCCGTGCTGGTGAAAGGAAAGAGTGCACAGCAAAAGGAGGAGCCCTATCAACCCAATCCTTTTAAAAAGTACCTTGAAGAAATCAGTGATCAAGATGTTGAGCAGGTGAGTAACCCTTTGAAGGATTTTGTAGCCTCAGCTAGTTTCTTTAAAGATGATGGAATAATCTTAGATCCTTATTTTGTCCTGGTGTCTTGTTCTTTGCAAAGTTAGATGATTCCCCGAGGGGCACGTGGCTCCTGGAGGAGAGTCTCCAGGCTGGAGATGGGCAGCTGGGCTTTCTACAGGGACATTTTTTGTGGTGATCTAAAAACCCGTATGTTGAGGAGGGGGTCTTTTAATGATGTCCATAGGAAACACTATACAAAAGAAAGTGGAAATCCTGTGCTCGCCTATCAAGCAGGTGTCTGGATCAGATCTACTAGAAAGTGCTTCCTCCATTTGGGGTCCAGACCCGAATCCTCTCTAAAGAGAAATGAGGACAGCAAGGACTGGGCAAGGTTCGCTCTTCCCTCTCCAAGGGAGACTGCGGAAGAGCCCCAGTGAGTTTCTGTGTCACTCCCCAGTGTGTAGCTCCCCCCAGTCCGTATTTGGGTCACTCCACGGCTTGAGGGAACTGCTTTTCTACTGCACATGAGGGGCATTAACAGGCAGCGCATGGGGCAGCAAAAGTGCTGTCTTCTCCCACAGACCTCTGCATAAAGCCATAGGATCACTTTGCAAAAACACATCTTGAACTTTGCTGACCTGTATGAGGCATTATCTCAGAGAAGCCCCAGATAAATGATTCTGTCAGCCTTTTCTTGTGCATTTGTGTTTGTGTGCATTATTGTGAATTAAACCTTAACTGCAATACATAATCTGAATGTCCCTGTAGGAGCTTATTATTAACCTATCCAGTACGTTCTGAATCTTCCATCTGGAGGGTAGTAAAAGGAAGCCAGTAGTCCTCTTGCCAGACATGATGTGAATAAAATACCTTACTAATTGAATTTCTCTTACTTCTATGCCTCTCTAGTCACATTAGACAGTGACTTTAGCAATGGCAGTCCTCTCTTCTTCCTTTCATAACTGAATTTTTTTAAGATTTTCATTTTAGTTCTTTCCATTCCTCCCCATAGCTCTGACTTCCTGTAGGACAGGACATTCCTGCCATTTCTCGAGTACTGCAGCATTACAAAGAGAGAAAGATTTATTTGTAACATCAGTGGGTTCCAGCAACACGTATGGCTGGCATCAGAAGGTTTCTCAGGTTTCTATAGAATGTAGAGTTTCTGTAAAATATAAGAAAAAATGAATACAAATGATTATTTACAATTTGTCTCTGAACTTCTGAGGTTGACAGTGAATATTTGACTTCAGAGACTACATGTGAGTTCATAGTGAGTTTTTCATGCTTTAAATTACTGAAAACCTTCTGATGCCCAGGCACTGTGCTGCCATTTGGCTGGGATGAAAGAGGAGGAGAACTGACCGGGAGCTGCTGCTAGAGAACTTCTGGTCTAGGCCACCTCAGCAGGACCTCTCTGCAAAGGCAGGGGCAGCTCATACCTCCCTTTCATCGGGGCTGGGCACTGATTCTGCTGGCTATAGTTTTTCTGATGAAGGAATGATGCAATCACCAAACTTTGTATCTTCAGGCAAATGCAAACCTGGGGTTATCGCCATACTCAGAAGCTTTCTGACATTTGAAGCTAATTGTGAAAACAAATCAACTTACACCTTATAAATTACTTATGGTACATATTACTGAAGTACTCAGGACATCATAAGTCCGTGAATAAATGTCGTTGTTATAACAAAAGCCAAAATTATTTTATATAAAAGCTGTGAATTAAAATGAACTAAACAAATAGTGCACTGACTTTGATAGGTGGAAAAGTTAATTTCACAATGAATATGTTCGGTTTTGCTTCCTTTATTTAAAAGAAAAATTACATATGCTTTTAAGTACTGATAAATTAGCATTTTTATCCTAATCTAAGAAATACTTCAGGTTGCTGTAAAATACTTGTTATTTTGGGGAGTCCTCTATTAAGGCGTCTTTGTTCTGAAAATGGAACTACTTAGGCCTGTAATCAGATGGATTCATTGACTTAACAGGAACTGGTTTTGTTTGTTTGAGAAATGGTTATATGATTCTAGAGGTGGTCTGATATAATAATTAATAGCATCATAATAGCCAGATCTAGGGAAAACACTAGAGCACATGCTTATGTCACAGCACATGCTTACAATTTCAGCTCTTGCCTCTCAGAGTAGGTTTATGGTGCTGATATAAGTCCCTTGTGTGTGGAGGAGACTCGGGTGCCCACATGTTCACAATCTTACAGCATCTCTGAAACTCTCCTGAGGGGTTTTAGTGCCTGTAAGAGGGCTGCAGCACGGCCTGTGAAACTGGGATCCTTGCCCAGACAACAGTTTGAAACTTGCAGTGGTGGTCTCTAACCACGGGGTTGTTAGCCTATAAGGACACTCATTCTCCCTCTTCACCTGCTCTCAGTAGTTACCATTTTTGGCTGCACAGAGGCTAGCTTCTAAAGAGTGGGAGGTGTTCCCACCAATATTACCCTGAAATCAGGACTGCTCTCATGGGATATGAGAGCTGTGGATTAAAACTAGGAGACTAGCAGCTAGGCCTTCTGCTTTCTGTGGAATACCCGGTGCTACTCCACTTATCCTCGAATAAAAACTTAGCAGGCATCTACTGCGGCTGAAGGCAAAACTGCTCATACTGTTACTGATTTTCCCTGCTTTTCTTTGGAGATTTTCCCAGTCCTGCTGGGAAGTTTAGCTCTTACATTTCTGTTCTCTCCCTCTCTCTGCGTTTTCTTTTCCTTTCTTTCTAACACCATTGCCAACAACACCCTCTCTAGGTGACGTTGCTGCCCCTCCTTCACCCAGCCCATCTTGAAAGGACAGACCCTTTCAGGCTGCATCTTCAAGGGTGGTACAGACTAGGTGAGGTTCCAGATGGCATCAGCTTTATTAACTTCTCTCTTTTGATTTTTCTTAGATGTCCTCAGTACCTCCCCTCCCTGCCAAACCTCCCAGTGTGACACTGAGCACTGGTGACTATGTGTGTGACATTCAGTTTGAGACATAATGATGCAGCCAGCCATAACTACTGACCTTCAGCTTCACGTCCCTGTGTTGAACACACGTTTTGTTGCACAACAGAGTAGATTGTTTGCTTTTCACTTCATTAAGAAATGTCCCCATGTGGAAAAGGCCATTTCCCTTGTAAAAAAATAGTAATTTTTGCTTTAACAGGCAGCTGTTCTCATGCAGATAATACAGAGTAATGGATGGAGACAAAAAGAGATTTCTAAATTAGTAAAGATTGTCTGGAAAGGATGTAGCTCACCTCACAGATAGCTCTTTTTATCTGTGTTCTGGGTACTCTGTATATAGATTGACACTGGTGTGCCAATAAAATTTATAAACCAGGGAAAAATTCCATTTTATTTTGTTTTTTTCTCATATTAGCTTATGCTGCCTTCTTTTTTTTTTTTGTTCCTGAGGATATATACAACTTGTAGCACTGGTTATTCAGTGGATATTCCCCCATCAAACACTTGTTACAGACAGAGTATAGTATTTCTGAGGTTCCAATCTGACAGTACTAAGCTTCCCACGTTTTTAGATGCCCTTACTGGAGATGGTAATTTCCCCATCATGGGAAAGAATTTTCTTCCTCTTGCTTAGTACGTTTCAGTAATGTTTCAGGAATTTTGCAAGCATGCTCCAATTTGTTCAAAAAAGCATCATAAAACATACTGGAAGTATATGTAACTTGTGAGCAGCGCTGACGTGACGGCTTCATGAAAATTTTCATTTCAAACTGGGGAAACAGAATCTTTTTTTGGGGAAAAAATAGGGCATTTCATTACATAGTAATATGAAAACAACTCATAATGAATGTTAGAGAATTCATGCGCTTGCAAATATTTATTAACAAGAATGTACAAAGGCTCCTTTGTCATCCAAAAAAATAAACCACTTTGGGCAATGGAAGAGCAAGATAAGGATGAACTAAAGAGATATTAGTTACGCTTGGCATGAAGCTGTGAGGCCACTTTGCCAAGGTTTATCATTAATAGAAGTAGGGCTGGTGCCTCTGAGGAGGAGCGGCAGGGGGCAAGGTCGGTGTGAAGCGACTGCTGCCTGGTCCCCTTCCAGCCGCTCTCGCCACTGCCGGGCTCTGATCCACTCGTTTGCTCACACTCACTCTTTTAGCAGGTGATACATTAGCTTCTGCTGGAACTAATCACAGCTCTTGTCACAAATTTTCTGGGTCTTGAGCTCAAAGGCACAGCGCGCAGGGGAGTTTCTGGTCTAGGCTCAGCCAGCCAAGCAGGTGAGAATTCGGGATGTATTGTGTCAACAACGGCCTTGACAAAACCTAAGCACAAGATTTGTGCCAAGAGCTGGGTATGCATCCTTGACTCTATCCCAAATCTTTTAAAAATCAATTTTTTAAAATGATTTTATCCTTTAGGTGCAAAAACCCACATACATATTGGATTTCTTTAACCAGAAACGCTATAAACTGCTGACAGCTTGCAGTAGTGAAATATATTGTACGTGCACCTTCACTGGTTTAACTCTTAAATGGCTGAAAAGGCTTGTTAGAGTCTTGTTAAAAAGCCTGAAGTGCTCCTGCTAGTACATAGATAAGGCAGACTTTCTTCATACCTCTCAGACACTGTTTTCAGATTGGTTTTGCTTCCAATCCACCTTCTCAGAAAATGTCCCAAAACGTGGCCATTTTATCCTAGCACAAGATCCTTCTGGGCTTTCCTTTTCTGTCACTTGAGCATTGGTTCAGCTGCAGGAGGGAGATGCACTGACCACAGTCAAAGTGTAACTGGTTTAATGTGACATCTACAGCAGGTTTTTGTGTGTGTGCTTTCATGCCGATGAAAGGACTTAGTGTAGAGTAATTGTATTGGCATGAAGGTAGAGTATCTTTCCTAGTTAATCATCAAGCCCTATGAAATGTAAAAAAGGTGCAAGACAAGCACTTTGCTTTCAGTCCAAAGCTTCTTTTTTGCATCCATTAATCTGTTGCTGTTTACTTTTCTTTTTTTCATAGGAGACTGCTCTCCTACACCCTCTGTATCCAACTAAACTGATCCCTCCAACTAAGTCCCCTTTGCGCCCTCCGTCCGTCTCCCTCGCTGATTGTCTAAAACCTGGACCTTTCAGCCACTTGTCTTCCATCACGTGTGACGTTCATGAGAATCCTTATAGCCCTTACAGTCACAACTCTTTGTACAATAAGGTGAGCGTCAAGTGTGGTGTGATTCAAGAGCTTTGTCAGGCTTTTACCCTTTTAATTCTAGGCAGAATTCAGCTGAGTCAGTGGATTCAGTGCTGGAAGGTGCTCTGGGAGATGCATCTCAGATAAGCCTGTGTCTCGAGCGTCCCTGGAGATATTACTGCTTTTCCTTCCCTTGGCATAGCTCGTATCAGGGCTTGTTTCCTCCAGACCATCTAGGACAGGGCTCCCACCACTCTTCATTCAAGCTATTTGTTCTCTAAAGGAGGAATAATCTAGTTCATCCCTCATGCTCAGTTTACTTTTAACATTTACCCATACTAAGGTAATGGGCTACTTTTTCTTGGGGACTGAAGGAAGGGAGGCTAACCTGAGAGAAATACAGGCTTTTCCAGTGGCTTTACCTGTCATCCTGACAAGCAGTTGTCTCTTGCCAATGCAAAGGGAATTGCACCCTTGCTGACATTTGTGTCTTCCTTGAAACAGCAGCGAAGAAGTTGGACAAAATCTCTGTAGTCCAAGGTGTGTGGGTGACAGGGCTGGCTAATGAGTTTTGTAAGGTGAAAACTGGGCCCTATGTCTTAACTGAAGTCTTTTCGAAGAACAGCTGGCATGAGGTATTTATAATACCTCAAGAGAACCCCTGTCTGGTGTTAGAAAAGCATCAGTTGTGGAAGTCCATAGAAGATGCTGTTTGGACCCCTCAGATGCATTCCTCCCATGTCTTCTTTTTCTAACACAGAATCTGGCTGCAAATGTTCAAACCTTGATGCCAGGAGAGATAATCCCACTCCAAGATGTACAGTGTGTTTTATTTGGGACGCAAGAGGTTAAAACACAGGCATTAGGTGCTGTTTCTTTAGGCTATGTCATGTTTTCCTCATCAGGGGAAGCACCAGGATGAAACACGCATTACTAGTTTTAGGCACACTAGGAGCCGAGACTGCTTTGGAGAGAAGTATCACCTCTGCAGAAAATGTATGTTGGTCAGCCGTCAGACTCTGAAGAAATGCCTGGAAACGCCTTTCCCCATTGACTAGAAACATAGTTTAGGTTAATAGGCGATGTCAATAGTGCCTGAAGTTGGCCTATCCATCCTGTGGGATTTATAGAATTTACCATTTTGCCCACTTATTAGGATGGACTAAAACTAAAACTCAAACTCAAACTAAAACTAAAACCAACCTTCCATTCTGTCTTTGAGGCATCCTGAACAAAAGCACCTTTTCGTATCTGCTAGACTGGGTTTTGTTCTGTTTCAATTTTTAGTAAACTGGGCTCTTATGTTTATTTAGGCAACAATGATTTTATGATCAAGTATTTTTTGACAAGTTTCCTGGTTCATTGCAAGGCATTCACATGAACAAACAAACAGTTCATGTGACTGCTGAAGCCAGTTTTTATAACGAAAATGGGTATTTGCTGTTGCTAATGAAAACACTGCTAGAAACTCAGAAATTTGTATAGGAAGGCAAATAAGGCAGGGAAAAGTTGTCTGAAGATAATTAAGATAGAGTAATTTTATGGTATATCATTAGCTGTTTTCTCGAACAGGGATATTCTTGCTGAATAATTGCTGAAATAAGGAAATTTTGCTGCTGCTCTGATTTCCCATAGCACTGTGCACCCAAAACTCTTCTCTTGAATGCAGAGGTCATAGGACAGCCTAGCCTCTGTATTTGCATTCCACCCATATGGTGATGGTTACGAGGCCTCTTCATCCACAATTTTTTATCTCAAGGAACTTTTGTCATTCCAAGCAACCTTCGTGAGCTTTGCAAACTGATACAGCCACACCTCTCTGATGTTAACAGGTTCTTCCTGTGCGATGTAAATACGAAAGCTACATCACCTCTTTGATTTCTTCCATTTCCCTATATAACATAAATTTGCTCTCACTTGGGACATTTTTTACCGTCTGCTGTTAGCAAAGGTATTTCACATGGTTTTCTTGTAAGCTTCACTCATCTGTAAATAGCTTTTATTTTATATTTTATATTTTATATTTTAATTTTTTATATATTATGTATATTTTATGTATTCTTTTTTCCATATTGAACTCTGACTCTTCATTTAAGTCTGCAACTTTCCAGGGTTGAGCAGCATTATACATAGCCCAGAATTCACTGAAGAGGGCTGTATTCTATCAAAGAAATCCTCAGAGGAACATTTAATTTTACTTCAAATACTTCTGCAGCAGCATTTTGAATGGTTATGACATCAACAAGCTAATTGGGAGGGCTGTGTTTTAGATGAGACCCTAGTACTGACCTGCTGCGACAATTTAAGCAAAAAAGTTCACACATTTGGGCTTCTGGTTGACTTCCTACTGCCATCCCGCTCATTGTGTAAGTGAAATAGGCTCCTGACTTTGGTCAAGACCACATGCAACGATAATGCTTGTGTTTCTCCAAATGCATCCCTTAATTTAGTTAATGTAGCAAGTTCTCTCTTTCATCCCATAAGATTTAGTGAAAATCCATGGGAATCTATGATGTTAACCATGATAGGTACAAAAAAATTCAACAATTAGATCTTCTGGAGTAGGATTGGTGAGAATGACAAATATTTTGAGATGAAATTTTTTTTGAGACTGGAGAATTTTCAGTATAACTCAATTTACCATTGATTGTTTCCTAGTGTTTAAAATAATTTTAATTATTTAATTATTTGCAATAATTTTAAAGTCTCAGCCAATGAAGATAAGGTTAACTGATATAAAATGGACAACTCAATTGTCAAAGGTAGCTAAGAGTTTTAAGCATTACTGGTAGTGCTAGTAAATACCTTTAATAAAACATATTGTAGTTCTGAACTGATGTCACTCTCTAGGTAGGTGTGGCTCAATACTTTGGGAAACAGAATAATCAGATGTCAATACTGGGCTAGTTGAATACAAACAGAGGTTTATTTACACAAGAAGTAAAAATTCATTATGTAGAATAATTTTTTTACTGTTTCTGTTTCAGTCTGTATTATTAACATTCTTTGATAACCAAAGGAAGATTAATTTCGATCTTATTCACATGATTAATATTTAACATTTGAGTCAATGTATGTTGATAAAAACCTTGACAATATTTGCCTATTATTTCTTTCAATAACCCTGTCTTCTGCACCACCCAACTACTGTCTGAGCTATTCATGTTTTTAAAAAGAAATTATTTAATTTATTGTCATAAATAATTGAAGTAACAGAAAACACAGTACAGTAGACACAGTATCAGGTGTTGAAATTTCAAACTGTTAGACCTGTTCCATAAACAACATCCTGACATCATGGGAATTTCTTTCCATTCTCTACCTAACCTGGACCATCATCTCTGTAAATTCCCTGGAGTTCCCCCTCTCCACTCCTCATCCCTTGGGATAAGGGATAATATGCACTGTGACTTGCTTGCTGTCTCTCCAGCCATCCAGTAAACACATGGTCAGTGTCCACATGGTCAATCTATATATATGTTACATTTCTAACTGTATGTTGTATTTTGCTTCATCTTCCACTAGAGGGCAAAACCCGCTGCCATAAATTCTTACAATCATTTAAAATATGTTGTAAATACACTATTGAGAATGGACGTTCCAGTGAATGGAGTTGCTACTCTTCACCTGCGCTTTCATTAAAAAATTACCTTAAACAAGTGTTCCCTCAGAAAAGGGAAATGGGATATGGGAAAAAACGGAATGATCACCTGTGTCTTATATTAGGGAGGCTAGATATGGTGAGCTCCTAAAACCAGTATCACTTCATTTGGTGGCTCAGGGCGTAAGAAAATAACAGCTGTCTCTATCTGAAATGCTTTATTGAAAGGACACTGTGGTGGTGTTTAGGCAGACTGGACCCAGTGCTGGGTTGTTTTTGTTTGAAGCTCCACCAAGTACCTGAATCTTCATAGCTGATGGAATTACACAGATGAAGCTGAAAGATAGACCTGGCCACTTCTGTAGTTTGTAACTGTTCAGAGTGATGAAATCCATAAGTTGTGCCCCAAATCATTTCACAATGTGGTTTTAGCTTTGATGGGAGGAGGCAGTGGGAACCAAGGTATTGTGTCTGTCCTTCTGCTTGGAGAAGAGCAGAGAAGGCTTTCTCCTCTCATCTGTGCACAGGCTGCTTCTGATATAAAAATGTTGCCCATTCAAGTGATCTGATTCTGTTCTCATTGGCCTTGTCATCTCCCTTGTCCTCTCCTTCCCCACTCTGCCCCCCAGGCACCAGGTGCTGCTGCTCTTATTTACACTCCTTGGTCTTGAATAATTACATGAGTTGAACTTTTTATTATAAAAAGAGTTCCTTCTCCTTTTGATTAGAATAAAACAGCTCAGGAAGTTGGACTTCAGTGCAACTATTGCAGTGATGGAGAACCTGAGGTAACATTTAGCTCTGTGGTTATCTCCAAAGTGTGCTTCTGCTGGGAAACCCTCCAGCTTTTAACGGAGGACTGTGTAGGGTGGAAGAGCACAACTTTGCACCTGGAGTACTGTGTCCAGTTCTGGTCCCCACAGTTCAAAAAAGATTCGGACAAACTGGAGAGAGTCCAAAGGAGGGCCACGAAGAGAACCTGCCCTATGAGGAAAGACTGAAGGAGTTAGGTCTTTTCTCCCTGGAGAAGAGAAGGCTCAGGGGGAACCTCATCACAGTATTCCAGTACTTAAAGGGTGGCTACAAAGAGGATGGAGGCTCTCTCTTCACAGGGATCCACATGGAGAAGACAAGGGACAATGGGTACAACTTGCACTGGGAGAGGTTTCATCTTGTTATATGAAAGAATTTTTTTACAGTGAGAACAATCAATCACTGGAAGAACCTCCCCAGGGACGTGGTGGCGTCCCCATCACTGGAGGTTTTCAAGCTGTGTTTAGACAGGGTGCTAGATAATCTCATCTAGGCTCCCTTTCCCACAAAAGGTTGGACCCTTCCAACCTGGGCTGTTCTATGATTCTATGATTCATATGGAGGCACATTCAATGTAAATATCTGTCAGGGAAGAGAGCATTAGATT